GCAAATTCCATCAATGCACTTTGGACTTCCTCCCTGAGTATCATTGGCTCTTGATCATATGGTACCTCTTGAGATGGTTAAACATTAACCATTTCCTTTTGATACAATGATTCGATGTATTCCTTCCATCTTCTCTTGATGCATTCTGCATCATTCAATAATTTCAAAATGGCCAACACCAATCTCCACTTTGTCAAGGAAGCTCACTGATGCCTAAGATATGGATCTTTATACTTTTCATTTTATTGTTGACAGTTTCCAATGTTATTAGATTCATATTTTGTACATTTCATGTTCCAATTATTAATGGATGGTTACAGATGTTTCTCTTCATTTTGAGTTGTGTCCTGTCATCAAATGAAAGTCCCAAAAGATGACTCTATTTGTGTCACTATGGTCAACTCTACTTGGAGGAGGCAGTTCTTCCCCAGTCGTATTATGAATACCTTCCATCCTGAGGGTATCAGCTTTAGACATTTTATCTGACAATGTTCTGCTGCTATTCAAAATGTTTTCAACTTCCCACACAATACCTGACAATGTTCCATTGCAATTCATAATGTTTTAGTGGCTAAAATTTGAACATAGTCTGCCTGTACTTCTTCCTACTCTGAAATCAGTCAACCATGTACGACCCTGCCTGTATTTCAATAACAGTGCCATAGCTTCCAACATTACAGCAACACACAAACCACCACACTATAACAAACTAGCAGATGAGTGGTAGATAAACTGTCCCTTGTTGTTATTGTTAAGTGCTGTGGAGTCAGTTCTGACTCATAGCAATTTTATATAGGGTTTCAGAGGAGTGGCTGGTGAATTTAAGCCACCAACTTTAAGGTTCAAACCTTCCTGTGGTCAAGTGCTCAGCCAACAGCACCACACCAGGACTCCCTCCTATCCATTAAGTGCTAAATAAATATCATCCAATAAATCTCCACTTTGTCAAGGAAACTGAGGCTCAGAAATTTATGATTTGCCCAAAGTCACAAAGGGGTAAGTGAAAAAGATCGATTTTTAGTACATCTTTGTTTTATCTGATCAGAATGTGTAAAAAAATGAAACAATCATACTCACTTCAAAGAAGATTAAATGAAGCTCATAGATTTTAAATTATTCTCCCACATCACAAGCTAGAAAATGATTGACTCATTTCTTTCAAGACAAAATTTTGAACACCTTTTGTAGATGTGACTCCAGGGAGCATTTAGCAGTTTACATGAGGGAATATTTATACTACTACACTCTTATGGAACTGAAGTGGTTTAAATTTATTTTAATTTCAAAATATTTTAATGTATGCATGCATTTTAAGTTATTTTAATGTTTTTTAAAAATATTGTATATATGTATAACATTAAGTATTACACAGATTCCAATTGCTCTATTTGAGTTGATAATCAATTTTGCAAATGTTTACATTTTATAAAAGCAGAATCGAAATGACACTAGTATGCAGCTTGTTATTTATATTTTACTCATTTGGAAAAATTTATATTTTACTCATATGGAAAACTGATAGGCATAATAACCACTTGCCCCTAAGTCAGTTCTGACACACAGTAACTCTATGTGTGTAAGAGTAGAACTGTGCTGCACAGTGTTTTCAATGTCTAATTTTTCAGAAGAAGATCACCAGGCCTTTCTTCTGATGTGCTTTTGGGTACACTCACCACTTTTTAGTTAACAGTAAGTGATTGACCTTTATTTATCACCCAGGTACTTTAAAGTCAGTCATTATAGGTAGAGTTCAAACTTTTCAAAAAGTGTAAGATTTAAAAATAAACTACATAACTAAGCTTTTAAAATGATACTACATGTCTTTAAGAACATTGGTCATCATATTTGACCTAAAAGTTATCCACTTAAGGGGACAAACAAAAGATGACTAAGTACATTAATATATTAAAGTAGTCATTCCTAATGTTTATGGGAAAATGTACTTTTTATTATTTTTTTTTTTACCACTTCATAGTATCATGCAATACACTATGAACTATGTAATTTGTATGATGCATAAAATTCCAAGACTTACCAAAAGTTTTCGAATATAGTAACTCAAAATTTCAGCAACTTTTCTGGTATTTTTAACTGCTCTATCATAAATTAAAGTTGCAGCACCCCGGTTCCAGTCCACTATAATTATATTCAGATCCTCTTCATTCAACAAAAGCCTTAGAAATTTCTCAAGCCATGATGGAGGAGAGCCTGTTGGTCTATATCCATGAATAATCCAGACTGTTTTCCTTTTTGTGTTGAAATGAACGTTAAGTGAGTGATCTTCCTCAAACAGAAGCCCTGCACAGTTCGGGTTGTTTCGTGTATATATCATCAAATTTACCTCCATTCTGGGCATAAACAAATCTAGAAAGGAATCTTTTACATTTAACTGAGTAAATTGAAGGCATGGTCTTTTATTCTCTGGAAGAATAAAAAATTCATTCATATTAAATACTGGCATAGAATTTCATATTTGTTTCTGTTGCTAAAGCAGAATTGGACTAAAAGGATATAAATGATAAAGGAATTATTCTCATTAGCATTTCAGTTTAATGTATTGAACAACTATAAAGTGTAAAGTAGTACAATAAAAAAAGGCTTCTTTGAATAAGGATAAAAATGATAATCAAATGGGTTGATTAACAATAATTCATTATATCTGTATAAAATATCAGAGCATAATACCAATAGGTATTACTTAAATCATTAACACTGTTAATAAAGAAAGCATTATGTACAATAAATTAGATAAATTGATCGAATTTTAACAGAAATATCACAGGAAAGTATATAGTGTGTGCCTGCAATAAGCAATGTTGTTATTGTTAGGTCAACCCTATCTAGGGTTTCCAAGGCTGTAAATCTTTGCAGGGTCATAAAAATTCATCTTTCTCCCACATAGTAAGCATTATAAAATTATATTTAACCTTACCAACTATCAAATAAATACAAACCAAAACTATAGATGAGCATTTTCATCAAAGTAAATCCATCTAATAATCAATATGAGGTAACAAGCTATTTATATGTATGGATGCTGAAAGCAAAACTGATGCATTTATTTTGAAATTTTATATATAATACATACACTATCTTAAAATATTCATTTTCTTGATTAATATACATTAATTAAATCTTTAAATATTAGGTATCCTTGGGTCAATTCTGATTCATAGGGATGCTATATACAGAAGAGGAAACACTGCCCAGTCTTAGTCATCCTCACAATTGTTAGGTTTGAACCCACTGTTGCTGCCACTGTGTCAAGTCATCTTGTTGGGGATCTTCCACTTTTTCACAGACCTTGCACTTTGCCAGTCCCTCCTGAAAATATGTCCAAAATACAAGAGACAAAGTCTCACCATCCACGAGTGTAAAGAACATTCTGATTGTATTTTTTCCAAGGCATATTTGTTTGTTCTTCTGGAAGTCCATAGGATAATTTATTATGACACTAAAAATATGAAATCCTTTAAATACCATCATGATAGTACTAGTACTTACATCCATATGTGTGAGTTATCTATCTACCTAACTCTCTTTCTTTACATATATCCATCCCAGAAGATCTTGCATAGAAAATGAAAGAATGAAGTCAAACCAACTACAATAGTTATTACTAAGTACTAAAACAATGGCTGTTTTTATCTTCTTTCTCATATTTCTTACATCTATCCAATTTTTAATTTTAAAAACACACAATTCCAAAATAATACTTTTTTTATTTTTAATAAGAGTACATTATAGATTCATAATGTTTCTGGAATTTTAATTTTATAATATATTTGAAGAAGCAGTCTGTCAATATGTATTTAAAACTCATAAAAATATTAGTATACGGTCCTCCAGTAATTCTATTTCTTAGAATCTGCTTTAAGAGTATTTGTCTCTCAAGAGTATCTGTCTCAAACCTGGGGAGGCTGGAGGCAGAAAAGAATGCTCTACTACAAATTATTGTAAAACTGAAAAAACAGAAGTGATTTAAATGACAAGAAATAAGTCTGATTACACATATTATGATATATTAGTCTATTTTATAAATCAATAGTAGTAGTAGTGGGGAGGGTGGTGATAGTGGTGGATGTAAGTGGTCAATTCAGTTCTGATTCATAGTGACCTGTATACTTTTTCCAATGAGTTTGGTGGGTTTGAACTGCTGACCTTGTGGTTCCCAGTGCTGATCTTACAGTGCCTGACCAGGACTCCAATAATAATATGCACTCATTCCAATAATCCTAGATTGGAAATTTTATATGCATTATTGATACATTATATAGAAGATAAACAGGAGTCAGGCAATGAAAGACAAACTAGACTTGCATTCAATTCCCAGGCTAAAAGTTGAGAAATACTTGAGAAAGTTAAGAATCTCAATACTTCATTTGTTCTGAGGATTAAGGAATGAGAATATTGAGAGGTAAAATATACAAAACAAAGAAAAAAAATGAAGTTGTCAAAGATTCCATTTTATTTGGATACACAATCCACATTCATGGAAGCAGCAGTCAAGAAATCAAGATATATCACATCGGAAAAATTTGCTGCAAAAGAGCACTTTAGAGTGTTAAAAACAAAACAAAGATGTCACTTTGAGAACTAAGGAGCACTTGACCCTAACCATGTTTTTTTCACACACCTATATATGTGAAATCTGGCCAATGATTTAGGAAGACCAATGAAAAATTAATGGCTTTGAATTATAGTATTGGTGAAGAATATTGAATAGACCTTGAACTGTCAGGAAATGAACAAATCTCTATTGGAAGAAATACAGCGAGAATATTTCTTAAAAGTTAAGATGCTGAGACTCCATCTCACAAACTTTGGTCATGTTATCAGAAGAGACCAATCCATGGAGGATATCATGCACGGTAAAGTAGAGGGTCCACCACATATTCGTCAGTTTGTCATACTATGGTTGCTTGTGAGTTGCTGTGATTTTGGAATCTATGCCATGGGTATTTTAAATACCGGCAGGGTCACCCAAGGTAGACAGGTTTCAGATGAGCTTCCAGAGGAAGACAGACTAGGGGAAGAAGGAGAAACTAACTACTTCCAAATATTGTCACTGAAAACCTTATGAATAGCAGAGAAACACTGTAAGATATAGTGCTGGAAAAGGAATTCCTCAGGTTGAAAGGCACTCAAACTGTGATTGGGGAAGAGCTGCTTCCTCAAAGTAGAGTTGACCAGGATGATAAGAATGAAGTAAAGTCCATGGGAGTAAAACCCTCAGGACCTTCATTTGCTGATGGTGCAAAGCGCAAAATGAAGATAAACACCTGTAAACATCTATCAATAATCAGAATATGGAATGTACAAAGTAAGAATTTATGAAACTTGGAAATTGTAAAAAATGAAATGGAACGCATAAACATTGATATCTTAGGCATTAGTGAGCTGAAATGGCCTGGTATTGGCCATTTGAATCTGACAGCTACATGGTTTAACTATGCCGGGAATGATAATTGAAGAGGAATGGTGTTGCATTGATTGTCAAAAAGAACATATCCAGATCAGTAATGAGGTACAATGTTATGATATGATAATATCCATGTGCCTACAGGGAAGACCATTTAATACCATTATTATTCAAATTTATGCACCAACCACTAAAAGCCAACCACTATAAGGATGATAGAAAAATTCTACCAACTTCTTCAATCTGAAATTTATTTTAAAAATGCAATCAAGATATAATGAATGATAAGGAGGAGCAAACAAAACGGTGGATTGGGCAGAAGTACAGTGAGAATCTCCATCAGAAACAACACAGAATACTGGACCAAGCAGGCTCAGGGGATGGTGACAGAACTCTGAACCACATATAAAGGAATATTTAGAAGGTTGGAAGCCTTACAGCTAGGGAAATTTGTGGCAGAAACAAGATATCCATTGCTTTCTAATTCAAGATGCTCAGTTGTTCCTGGAGCTACCATCTTGGGCGAGACCAAATGGAGGAAGGATCCAAGCAGCCACAGATGACTGATAGAACCACGGAGATAAAGGTGTGGGCATTCTTTTTTTATTATTGTATCTGTGCATTAGTCTCTCGCTGTCTACACACCTCCATTCTGGTGACTACAGGGGTACCTGAGTGAGTGGACACTTGCCCCCACCCCTGGAGGGTTCTACTACACATGTGCACAGATCCCCTCAAAATTCAATGTGACAGTTTCCACTTAAAACCAAATGTCGGTGCAAAACTGTCACAGCTGACCCTGAACTATTTATCACTAGGAAAAAGGCCCGAACAGTGATTGTGGAGTAGAACAGGCAGACTAAAAAGGAAATAGGATGAAATTAAATCCTGAGTTACATCACAACTACCAATACTGGCATCTTGAAATTTCTCAGGACGAACAGTGAAAAGGGAAGCCCATCTCCTGATCACATCTACCTGGAGGCATCAGAAAGCATAAAATACAATTTTAAATGATAATAACTAAAACTTAATGCTACCAGCGAACCCTGGTGTAGTGCACTACATACAGTGTCCAAGCATATAATTTGCTGATGTTGTCATTCTCAGATGTGCACTGGCAGATGATTATAAGCAATGTTTTCAACTGCTAAAGACAAATAGAGGTCAGATTTTAAAAGATACTGATAATAAAAGGCAATAATAATTAAAATTAATCTTAAAAAAGGTATTCAACTTATGTCAGAACTGACTTGTGACTTCGAGTTGGAGACGACCTGTAGTATGTTCAGCTGCTCCGTTTGCATTGTATTCTATTTTAAATACTTTTAAAACAGCCTGAGTAATCTCAATTTTACAAAAAAAAATTTTCCAAGAAAAATTAATGAAAGATTTCTGTATTAAAGGGTATGAAACATACTCATGTATATCAGAAACCTCTACATTAAAAAAAGAACAGGAAAGGCATAATTCAAATAAAACACTTAAAAAATACATTACATTTCACCAAGTTTCCTTGGCAGATGGTGGTTCAAAGGAAATAGAGAAATCACAAGGGTTTGCATGAGTTGAGAACGATCTGGAGAATAACTGAACTAAATATGTGATTCCCTTATTATTTTGTTTGCTATTGTTAATATTTAAAAGTCTTATTATTCAATTTTAACTATCACCATACAAGAAGTTCACTGTCAACAGAGCTAGAAACATACTGAGTAACTTCTAGCTAACATTTCCCGATTGAAATTTTAGGGAACTGCCTATCAAAACTGATAATCAAAACAATAATCTCAGAAAGTCTGTCAATTAAATTTAAAGCATGAACTATATTAAGATGACACATAAAATCAGGGGCTTAACTTTCAGATTTTTTGCAATTTCAAATTTAGGTGCCACAGTTATACATTGTAGGACAAATGGTTATTTCATTTGGTTGCTGATAGGTAGGAAGTTTGAGAAAACCCAGAGGTACCTCAGAAGAAAAAACTGATTAGTTGCTTCTAATAACATCAGCAATTTAAAACTCTATGGAAAAGGAAACATGTGTAAATTACTACAATTTGATGAACATGACGTATACTTAAGTATGTAGTAGCTCAAAATGCTGAGAGGGAAGGAGAGAAATGTCATAGAAAATTTCTATGGGGAATTTCCAAATGAGTCTAATATAAATGTAAAATTGCATATGAATATCTTTTAGAATGCAGGTTTACTAAACACAAACATTTTCAAATTTATATTTATCTCAAATATCCAATTTAAAATAAAACAAGAAGTAGTATAAATTTCTAGTAAAAATTTAAAACTATATAAGTTTATATGCGTTCAATTTTTTTAAATTAATTAGAAGACAGTTAAAACCCAAAGAAATTGTATCAGCTGTTGCAAAATTCCTACAGAAAACTATTCACCTTGAATTTTTAATTTGTTACATTTTTATTACCATGAAGTAGAACTAGTAGTTCCACTTTATCATCATGAAACAATAAATATTACTAAAATTAGTACGCCTTATTGCCATAAACCAGTTCTGCTAAGCCAGAGGGAAAAAAAAAGAGTCATTTTGTATTTGCAGTTGATAAATCACCTATGTAAGAATTATTCTCAAAATAAATGCTATTTGAATATATGAAACGAAAACAAGAAATTTATTGTCATGAATTTCAAACACTGAATATCTCTATTTCTGAAATATTCTAACTTTCTTGAGTATTTCTGTTTAGTGTCTGTTTATATCATCTAATAAAAATATGTACATGATATCTGAAAAACAAAATGCAATTTATCACACACATATATAAACATTCTTAGTATTTAAAATGTGTTTAGTATAATTAATATCCATATATCTTATATAATGCTGTCATAGCTTTCTTTATCCCCAAATATACACCAAACTGATATTTTTTGTGTATGATTTTTAAACAAATAAAATTATAATAATTATCTTACCAGATCTTGCCCAACATATCAAACAGAGGAATATGTATACTCTCATTATATTAAACTAAAAGAAGCACTCAGATTCACACACAGAAAAGGTAGTTTTCAATTCAGTAAGGTTTCTCTTCAGTAGGATTGCCACAGTCTGGTACATTTTATAAACAAGTGCCTGACCTTTTGCTCCTCCCTCCTTGTTGAAAATGTGAGGTAGTTCATTTTCTTCCATTTAGTTTGTGGTTGCATGAAGGATTTTTAAGTTGCAGAATCTGTAATAAGTCACAAACAAATATTCAGCTCTAAAAGGTGAATTTAAGGCGAAGGAAAGGCTAATTACATCCTTCTGTATTCATTTTAAACTCACAACTTAAGAAGTGGTCAGAGGGGAAAAAAATCATTGAAAGGCTGGAGCAAATATGAAGCTACAAAATGCTAGAAATGGAAAGAGTCAGAAAAAGTTGTGTTTATATTCATTTTTATTACAAACTAATTTATCCTCTATATTCCACAAAATCAATAATGAGGTTCACAGCCCTCAATCTGTATAGTATAAAACATGATTCGTGACATTTTCCATCACAAATTGAGCCTGTTTTAAAATTTAAAATGTTGACTTACCTCTTTATAGCCAATATTTGAAAAAAAATAAAAATATACTTGCTATTTAAATGACAACTGTTTTTAAAATAATTATAGGTTTCCTTTTAGATATTTACTCATATTTTCTTTTATTTTCCTGCTAGCAAGAGACTTCTTAAGCATAGAAAGCAGGCTTGTTCTCAGTACATGCGTTAAAAGTTCAAGAAGGAAATTTTGTTTTTTAAAGAAGTCTTCAAATTTCAAAAGATATGTAAGAGCTGCTGTTGTTATTAGGTGCCATCGAGGTGGTTCTGACTCATAGCAACCTTAAGCACAACAGAACAAAATTCTGCCAGATCCTCATAACTGTTCCTAATCTTGAGTCCATTGCTGTTGCCCCTGTGACAATTCATCTCATTGGGGGTTTTCCTCTTTTTTTGGTGATTGACCCTCCACTTTATCTAGCATGAAATCATTCTCCAGGAACTAGTGCCAGCTATGATATGAAAACATATCTGAAATGTGAGAGAAAAAGTCTCTTCATCTGGGTATCTAAGGAGCATTGTGGTTGGATATCTTCCAATCCAGATTTGTTTGTTTTTCTATCAATGGTACTTTTAATATTCTACTCTAAACCATAACACAAAATACATCAATTCATCCACAGTCTTCTTTATTCATTGTCCAACTTTCACATGCATATGAGGCTACTGAAAATACCATGGCTTGGGTCAGGTGCACCTTAGTCCTCAAACTGACACCTTTGCTCTTCAACAATTTAAAGAGGTCTTGCTCAGCAGATTTGCTTAATACAATACGTCGTTTAATTTGACTGCTGCTTCCATGAGTGTTGATAGTTGATCCAAGAAAAATGAAGTCTTTGACAACTTCAATCTTTTCTCCATTTTTATGAATGTTGTTCATTGGTCTAGCAGTGAGTAGTTTTGTTTTCTTTATATTGACGCACGACCCATACTAAAGGCTAGAGACTTTGATCTTCATCAGTAGGTATTTTAAGTCCTCTTAGTTTCAGCAAGCAAGGTTGTATCATCTGCATATCACAGGTTGTTCATGAGTCTTTCTCTAGTCCTGATGCCATATTCTTCACATAATCAATTTCTCTGATTATTTGCTCACATACAGATTGAATAAATATAGTGAAAGAATACAATCCTGGTGCACAACTATCCTAATTTTAAACCATTCCCGTGTTCTGTTCAAACAACTGCCTATTGGTCTATGTATAGGTTCCTCTTGAGCACAATTAAGTGTTCCACAATACTCATTCTCTGCAATGTTGTCCACAGTTTGTCATTATCCACACAATTGGAAGCCTATGTGTAGTTAATAAAGCACAGGTAAACATCTTTCTGGTATTCTCTGCTTTTAGCCAAGATCCATCTGTCGTAGGCAATCACATTCCTTATTCCACATCCTCTTCTGAATCTGGCTTGAAGTTCTGGATGGTCTTTGTCAATAAATGGTTGCAGTCATCTTTGTGTTACCTTTAGCAAAATGTTAATTGCATACAATATTAACAATGTTGCTCAGTGATGTCTGCATTCCAATGAGTCACCTGGCTTTGGAATGAACATAAATATGGATCTCTTCCAGTCAGTGGATCAGGTAGTTTTTCTTCAAATTTCTTGGCATGTGCCACATAAGTTTGTTGAAATATTACATTTTGTATTCCATCAATTCCCAGAGCCTTGTTCTTTCCCAATGCCTTCAACGACACTTTGACTTTTTCCTTCAATATCATTGGCTCTGGATCATATGCTACTTCTTGAAATGGTTGAACATCAACCATTTCTTTTTGGTACAGTGACTGTTTATTCCTTCCATCTTATTTTGATGATTTCTGCATCATTCAATAATTTGCCCATAGAATCCTTCAATATTTCAAGTCAAGGCTTGAATTTTTTCTTCAGTTCCCTCAGCCTGAGAAATGCTGAGCATGTTCTTCCCTTGTAGTTTCCTAACTCCAGATCTTTATAACAAATATTATAACAATATGTTATAATATTTGACTTTGTCTTCACTAGCTGTGCTTTAAATTTTTCTGTTCATCTGTTTTAGCTCTTCATTTCTTCCATTTGCTTTACCATCTCTATGCTGGAAAGCAAATTTCATTGTGTCTTCTGACATCCATTTTGATATTTTCCTCCTTTCTTGTCTTCTTAATGAACTTTTCTTCCTTCCTGTGTGATGTTCTTATTGTCATCTCACAACTCTTCTGGTCTTTGGTCATTAGTGTCTTATGCATCAAATATGTTCTTCAGATGGTCTCTAAATTCAAGTGGGATAAGTTCAATGTCATATTTTCACTCTTGTGAACTTTCTTTAATTTTCTTAAATTTCAGCCTAAAGTTGCATATAAGCAACTGATGATCTGTTCCACAGTCTAGTTTTGGCTGAAGATTTGGAGACTTTCCATCATTTCTTTCCACAGGTATTGTACATTGGATTTCTGTGTATTCCACCTGGTGACATCCAGGTGTATTGTTGTTATTGTTAGGTGCCTTCAAGTCGGTGCCAACTCATAGCGAACTTATGCACAGCTGAACGAAACACTGCCCATTCCTGGCAACCTCACTACTGTTGCCACACTTGAGTCCATTAATGCTGCCATTTGGCCAATCCATCTTGTTTGGGGTCTTCCTCTCTTTCTCTGTCCCTCCACCTTACCAAACATGATATCCCTCCTGACAATATGTCTGAAGTATGAGAGATGAAGTTTGGCCATCTTGGCCTCCAAGGAGCACTCTGGCTACACTTCTTCCAAAACGAATCTGTTGGTTCTTTTGGCAGCCCATCACACTTTGATTATTCTCCTGCAACATCATGACTCAAAAGCATCAATTCTTCTACGATCTTCCTTATTCACTGTCCAGCTTTCTCATGCATATGAGGTTATTAAAAATACCATGGCTTGGGTCAGGCGCACCTTAGTCCTCAAGGTGACATATCTGCTCTTCAACACTTTAAAAGGTTTTGTGCAGTAGATTTGCCTAATGCAATATGTCATTTGATTTCTTGAGTGCTGTTTCCATGAGTGTTGATAGTTGATCCAAGAAGAATTAAGTATTTTCTCCATTGATAAGAATGTTGTTTATTGGTCCAGTGGTAAGGATTTTTGTTCTCTTGACATTGAAATGTAATCCATATCAAAGGCTGTGTTCTTTGATCTTCATAAGTAAATGTTTCAAGTCCTCTTCACTTTCAGCAAGCAACGTTGTATCATCTGCATATCACAGGTTGTTAATGAGTCTTCCTCCAATCCTGATGCCACGTTTTTCTTCATAGAACCCAG